ACTCCATGCCTGCTTCACCTCTGTCTCTCCTGCTCAGAGTGCTCAGGCAGTGATCTTTGACTAAGATACCCACAGAGCTCTGCTGCCACCTGCTGGCTTTATAAAATACTGTCTACAGCCAAACCCCAGACATATATGATACATAGACACAGACGGACAGTAAAAGATTGAAAAACAATGTCGAAGTCAATTGATGTCAATGACAATGATTTAATCTCAATGGTACTTTCCTGGTTAAATAAAAAAAATAAAAAAGGCATATCTCTAGAGGGAGCCCTGTGTACCCCCACTTTGAGAACCACTGCTCTTTAGCATCTTAACAATGAAAACATACACCCCTTTCAGGGAAGGTGGAGAGCTCTGACGAAGACCCGAGAGGCATAGACACACGCCAACATGTCCCAAGAATATACTCATTAAAGGGATTTTTATCTTAAAAATCAGAGTGCCTCAGACCTTTCACTTTGATCTTCATACATACTCTCAGACATACAGAGAGTAATCAAATCATTTTAGCATCAAAGTGAAAATTAACTACCATCACTGATACTATTCGTCCATTTGTTTCCTTTGATGTCTCTTAAATACATCAGGAGGTTCAGACAAAGACCCCGAACCCAAACAAGGTTGCTTGTTTTGATTCTTGAATATATAAAATATTAGCAAAAATTTTCCCATTCACAAGCCCCAGGTCATAATTCATTCACTCGCTCATTACTTACATACCTATCGTACATGTCTTTCCTCGAGCATCTGGAAGATACAGAGAGAGCTCATGCAAACACCACACAGAATTGCCTGGAGGTGGAATCAAACCCAGGACCTTCTGAGCCACTGCGCTGCCCAATGGAGCACGTACAATGCTTGACTAATTTAAGCCGATCCTGTTGTGTCTCTACCCACTGTCATATGGTACACATGATAAACAAACTAATACCGTGAAATACTGTCACTACACTCAAGGGGCCCTATATTTTTTCTTATAGCATCCCGTATGGTCGCAGGTCCTCCATGTAAATTCCTATGACTGCCACTCAGTTTGGTTTATTTCGGGAAGAGGGGCGACTGTGGAGGAGCCCAATCAGTCCGTACAACTATAATTATCACGTCAGCGCTTCTATGCCACTACAGAAGCGAGTGGGAGGGATACCGCGGCTACAAACACTGCTCCTGCCACAGACTGTTCATGCATGTGCTCCATGTCAAAGCAGCCGGCTTCATAACAGGCCGAGGAGGAACCAGGAGGAACCAGGAGGAACCAGGAGCAAGAGAAGCTGTAGATATGGAGTAAGAGCATGAGAGCAGTCCAGGAGTGTGCTTCTAAGAAAGAGTTAAAAGACTTCTACTGTCATCATCTGGAGAATAAGCAGCACATAATAACGTGTGAAACAAAAATCTGTTAAGAGAATAATAATATAATAATAATAATATATTCAGAATAGTATTCATACATAAGACAATGTGCAAGAAAAAAACTGGGCTTGTGGAGTGATGTTTTCTGGCCTTTGACTTTTTACCAATATTGGTACTAAAAATATGATCTGTTGTTTGGAAATGTGTAGACTGTAATCATTTGCAAATATCCGTGAACAGCTTAAGGCGCTGTAATCGTAATTCAGCGTCTCAGTTTGGAGAGGATTTCTGAGGAGTACAAGTGGATTTCAACATATCTCCAGCAGACGCAATGAAACTCAGAGCAGTAGGTGTCCCATTTTCAAGAACACCTCAGATATATGGAATGAATTCGATCTCATAGTTAGAAAATCTGACAAAAAAGCAACTCTGTTCAAGCTAGAGAATATTAAAGCTGCACTAACTGACTTTATTTTCGTATTCCTTACAAAAATGCAATCCATATCCATGCAGTGCATTGGCATATACGTCCTTTTGAAGAATAAGTAGTGCAGGTTTGTGACATTATATTTTAGATCGAGTTTTGGTGAAACAAGGAAGAGAATGTGTTTCGGGTCTCTGATTGTGACCAATCACAGCGGACCACTGGCCCCCGCTTTCGTGAGAAAATCCACAGGTCTCTGGTCAGCACCGACAGCTGAGTTAGCACAACAAGCAGCAAAGGCGAACCTGAAACTTCCTGTGTCTTCGTTACTGCTTACACAGCGGAACATCCATTCAAAAGAAAGTCTCGTCCTCTCCGCGCTTCAAGGTTCTGTCATTCTATGGTCACGCCATCCACGTGCAATAGTGCCATATTGATCCATATTGTGAGAGGCTAACTTCGGAGCTAACAGCACAGAGCACAGGCTGCGGGGGAGGGGGAGGGGGGGGGGGGGGGGGGGGGGTCAAAGCTCCGTGGGTGCGGGGAGGGCGAGCAGAGAGAGGGAGCTCATTGCTCGCGTTTGAAAATGTCTCAAAATCAGTTAGTGCAGCTTTAAGCAAGTAGTGAAGATCAGACTTCAAAGTTTAACTCAAGTGCTTTTAACGTGATAATAATCATTTTCACTGCTCACACCAAACTAGAATCCCATGCATTTGAACTAGGGTTGGGCGATATGGGCCTCAGCATGTATCACGATTTTTGTTGGTATGTATCACGATATGACGATATGATAATTTTAACAAAGCCTCATATAAAAGCTATAAAAACTTAGCACTGATAATTTTAAACACACTTGCCTCAAAGTGCATTTACTGATTTATTGGCAGCAAAATGTGTAATACAGCTATTGTATATAAAACGTATTAACAAAACTGAATTGTAGAGAATTCTGTTTTGTACATACTGAAAATTGCAGGCAACATGAAATAAAGGTGAACATTTGTAATTTGTAAAATATATAAAAGTTTGTCCTTTGTAATATAAAAAGTGTAGCATTATCAAATAATTATTTGATCACTTTGGCTTATGTTTCCTAATCCCAATATAGTCAAAATGTTCAAATACTGTATATATTTTTTGTATCCTTTTGCGTTTCTATAATTATATAATTATAACTTATTTGTAATTATATTGCAATGTAGACAAACACATGCATTGAAGTAAAATGAATGACAGTAAACAGTAAATAAAGCTTACTAATGGCACTATGAGAGAGAGAGCGAGAGAGCGAGTGTCCGAAGCAAGCCACTCGAGTCCAGTTGTTTAGGGCAGCTGCTTTCACAACATTAGATCCACTGTCGATAGTTACACACAATTTCTTCTTTTTATCTAGTTCCAAAACTACTCCCATATGTTTGAGGTAGCTCCGCGTTTTGGCACAATGTCTTCTACAATCTGCATGTCTTCACCATGGTCTTCACCGCCGCCCTCAGCCATGTTTGCTCTCTGCTCTGTTGTTGTTGTCCCTGCACACCGCTCTGCTACACGTGCCGCGCAGATGCGTCATCAAAGTGCGCCGCACACAAACGTGTCTTTCGCTCGCTGTTTTCAGTGTTAAATGATCGTTTTCACCGGTATAAGGCGTTTTCTTATCATTTAATTTACTTATACAGGTATACCGGTACAAAAAAAATATCGCCCAACCCTAATTTGAACAAGTTTGTGAGGATAAAAACTACAGCAGAGTAGACAGTTTTTGTAAAGATTCTGTTTTACCAATTGACTTATTCCAATTCCATTTTAGAAAGAGGACAATTAGATCCCAATTCTGTTCAAGTTAGAGAATATATAGCAGAGTGATACTAAACATGAACGAGTCTTTACCTGTGATGTGTCTGCCATATTAAAAAGAAAGCTGATCCTATAACAATAAGCTTAAAACGAGATTATACTGAAGTGAACCATGGTACGATCAGCACCAACCTCCAGACATGTGAAACCCAAGCACAGAAGTGACAGGTGCCACCGCCGCAGAGCTGCACTGGCCCCGTCGTTTTAATGATTGTGGAGGAGCATGGAGACCTCTATAGGTGTTAACAGCCTGAGCGAAGAAAAGCTGTCAGACTGTGTAGAATATAAACATGGGCAGGTTTTAACGGTAAAACTCCTCTCCAGGGGCAGGACACAAACACTAAGGCAGTATAGATTTTGATATAGATTGAAAATAGACATCTTGATTTTAAAGAAACACTGTCCAAATGAATGCCCTGACATTCATACAACAAACTACATCATGCAAAAATAAAAAGGAAAACTAGCACTTATGCACAGAACTTGTGTCTTAATGGCATACAGGTCATTAAAAAAGTCCAAACTTGTCAATGTTTCTTAGTAACTATGTATGTACTGCATCATATTTTTCACAAGCCTTATGAAGCACCATTTTATTACTTTTAATTTTATTGTACATAAAACATCATGCAAAAGAGACCTCATTTTAACCTTGTAATGTTGTTCGCACACTTCCTGTCTTTTTGCACACCCTGAGTGATTCTATCCATGCCAAAAGTGACATGTACATTTCTCCAATATGAGATCAATAAAGATCAATAAAGTTAACTTCTCTCTTTTTTTGTATTTATCTTATTTGTCATCTTTAATTATGTTTTTTATCTTTTAACTATCTCCTATGTTTGTATGAATGTGAGCAAGGGACTAATGCACAATTTCCTTTGGAATCAATAAAGCAGTGTCTCCCAAAGTGGGGTCCGCGGCCCCCTGGTGGGCCGCGAGGGTACTGCAGGGGGGCCGCGGGAGGTCATAAAAAAAATAAAAAAATAATATAATTATTTAATGTTAAATTTATAATGTTTTGTTTGTAATATTAAAATATTTGTGTTCATTATTTGACTTGAATAATCCACTGTAATCATTTTTGTATTACAATGTTTGTAGCAGAAGCTATTTCCCCAAAATAAAATAACCAGAAGAGCCTATTCTTAATGTTGTCTTCTTGGTTATTATTTTGGGGGGCCACGCAGACCCGTCAGATTTTTAAGGGGGCCTCGGTGTTACTGAGTTTGGGAATGGCTGCAATAAAGTATCTATCTCTATCTATCTATCTATCTACTGTATCTATCTATCTATCTACTGTATCTATCTATCTATCTACTGTATCTATCTATCTATCTATTTCTTATCTTCTTGCAATCCTTGTACTCACCATTCCCTGAGCAGCGATGAGAGCAGCCAGTGTGCTTCTGCCTGACGTCCCAGGGGAGCAGAGGGACAGTCGGATCACATGCCCCGACACTGAGGTCCTGTCCATCTCCGTGAGGACCGCCTCGGCCTGCTCCGCGCTCTCATACTCCACCACGCCGAAGCCCCTGACCGGGCTTCCCTCGTCCTGAGCCAACTGCAACAGACACACAAACAAGTCACATTAACACTTCAGCAAGATCAGCCATTATCGTGTGGCTTTCACTCTTTTTTAGATACAGTTTCAAAGTATTCAGCCTTGAAACCAAAACAAACTGTGATCACTTTATTCAAGATGAGTTTAGTCCCATTTAACCAATTTTTTTCAGTAACTACTAAAAGCACACCATGTCTCCCTGATTGCACAAATCTAAAACGTGACATTAATAATCTAATCTGCCTCTAATGGTTACAGCAGTGGGGAAGACTTCGGCAACACCCCTACATTTAGTCTGTCGTTAATAAATCATAAGAACTTGCCGTTTTCTGCCAACCTCAGTCCTATTTCATGACGAGATGCTCATAAGCAACATTTCCTCCTGACATACTTCCCATAAGCTGTAGAATTGTAGAACATGGACAAATCCAAATAGAACCACAGGAAGTAAAAGCATGTGGAGATAGTAGTCTATTATTACAGCTTAATTCAGTCCCCTTGAAAGCGAGTAGTAAAGATCGGACTTTAGCTCAAGTGGTTTTAATGTGATAATAATCATTTTCACTGCCTACACCAAACTAGAAAGGTAAAAAAACTACAGCAAAGTAGAAAGCTTTTTGTAAAGATTCTATTGTACCAATTGACTTATTCCAATTCTGAGTTAGAAACAGGAAGATTCTCATACTTGAATTGTCTGAGTTTCTTTTTATTTAGGTTCTCTTTGTCAGATATTTCTAAAGTTGCTTCGATGTGTGCAATCCGAGTGCTCTTATTTCCTACTTTTTCTCTGCTATAATGTGCGCAACAATGACACTGAGATTTCCCCACTATGGGACGAATAAAGGAATATCTTATTTCATAAAATGATAAAACTATCCAATGAAATACCGGCGAGTAACATTTATTCCAAGGCTAATGCAAGAGACTGAAAACACACTGTACCTTTTCACACTGGCTGAAAATCAATGGCCCCAAAGTGTTTAAACCTGATGACAGAGAATCATTGGTTTGATTGAAAATAACGTTTTGAAATTTGCCACATGCTTTTGGATCATTGTATAAGCCAGAGTTATAAAACCTGCACATGTTACAGTTTTGCTGAATGTTCTGGGATTTGGATGACCATGAAAAACATTTCTTTAAAGCTGATCGACTCTGAGCTGGAGGCTTCATTCATCTCCACGAGAGGCAGCTAAATAATGCAGCGAGGCTAAAAGCTCCCGGCTAATGGAAGTTAGCGGATAATGACAACATCAAAAAGCTAATGGCTAGTGGCTAATGCTAGTGACCGACTGAAAGTACAGCACATAATGATCTATGGCCACTTCTTCCATATCTCACGCTGAAGGTGATCGAGGAAAAGGCAGAAGGCATTCATCAGATTCACTCATAATAAGGCACTAAACGCTCAAAGACTCTTTTACGCTGCATTTTAGTGGACTGGTCGTTGCAGACTGACGTTGGGAAAACATGAAGGACAAAATTCTTCAGTAATTCAAGGTATCTTTTTGAAATGTAACTTTTAAAAACGTCTTTGCTGATGCCTGACAACAGCGTGACGTGACTAACAAGCGGAAGGAGTATCCCGCTAGAAAGTGCTTCAAATACATTTAAATGGAATATTTCTATTCCATCGATAATGGCCTGCCAGTAATAATTTTCATAATTAATTTTAGTGGTAGGGAAAACTGGAAGGGACCTACACAAACAGCGAGAGAACATGCAAACTCCACAGAGAACAGCCCGTTCTGGAGGTGGAACCAAACCCGCTGAGCCACTGTGCTGCTGTCACCAGCAAGTTCCGTTTATTTCTTTTCATGGTAACATACAGTGATGAGGCACAACCAAAACAATACGTTGATTTTAAGAACAGAAATTGTTCTCTTATAATTTTACATCAGTACTGATGTGTTGTTTTAAGTATAACGATTATGGGTGTCGTATATCATAACTGATACCCGTGATTTCCATACTATATTTTATAATTCTTTGAACCCTGTGGCTTATAAGTGTATTTTATTGTGGTAGAGTGTCAGAGCAGAGTTTTTGGACTGTAGGACACTTGTTTATTGTCAAAATAGACTGGTGAATGAGTACCAGCGAGGAAGCTAACGGTAAAGCTGTTTAACACCTTGTAGCATGCGTCTCCCTACGACCTTACAACATGAAAATCTCTGGCTTATATTCAAGTGCGGCCTTTATGTGGACAAAATGACATTCAACATGTTGCTGGTGCGGCACAAATACGGTATGGGACCAAAGCCAAAGAAAGTATAACTTCGTCAAGCTCTAGAATAATTTCTCTAGTCTGTACCCTTTTCTTCAAGCGTCAGTAGTAGTCATTAGATTTCATTGTCCCACCATTTATAAATAGAAAAAGCCACCACCAAGTCTACTCTAGTCTGTATAATGCTAATCCCATCCATTCATGTAGATAATAAGCCACTTGCGGTTTGCTGTAAAAGGGCGTTTCTACCAATAATTGGACCTTCTACCGCACTTGACACAGGAGGACTCCCCGGGCCAATTCAGACAGCGCGGAGAGGAAATCTTCAGGGGAACAATCAGCTCGCCGGGAGCGCAGAGAGCGGAAGAAGTGTGTGCGGGAGGGGGGTGATGGGTCGTAATGCTGGGGGGTAATACATGTCGTGATATTTATAGTTCATGAGGACTCAACATCGAGAGGCCTGAAAGCTCTGAGAAAAGATCAACATCAGCTTGTAGCAGGTACTGCCGGATACAATGTCCACACACAAAAAGTGTTGCTCGTACATCAGTCCTCTGGCCCATACTGTCCTCCCTGTGTAGTCTATGAGAGCAGTGAAGAGGACAGTAGGGGCCAGAGGACTGGATGTAGAGCAACACAAATCAATGCATGTGTTGTCCTATGGTCTTTGTGCGCTGGTGTTGGCCAGACGCAAGGACTTTCTCTGATAGAAAAAAAACGATATCCCAGAATATCACTGTAAAACCTGCTGCTCTCCTGTGATGTTTAGGGACACAAGTGCTTTGTGTGTGTAGAAGCAATCTAAGCCCAAGGGATCCCGCTAGAAAAATCATGGTTACATGAGATATCAATGGGAGGGGACGCGTTGGTGCGCGCCAAAAATTTAGAAAATCCATCCTACATCTAGAGCGCAGCTTCGGTCATACATGCGATGATGCTAAGTAGAAGTGTAAATATCATCATAGGTTAACATGGAAAAAGTTAAGTTAACGGGGGGGGGGGGGGCCGGGGGGTGCGTATCTGCGCGTATTATCTACTCAACGCGTACGTGCTGTAACGCGTGAAGTGTAAATTCAGCCGTTCCAGTAGGTCCCATTCCGTTTTGTCGCCTTTCACGCGTGCATCACACGAGATTCACGTGTGTTCACATCGTCTTTTATTTCCCCCCTCCAGTGACGTTTTGCACTGACCAAAACAACCACCGGCTGCACTTGTGGAGCAGGGTTACATTGGGCGGAGTTTCTGCCCCGCGCACATCGACAATCTGGTTTTAAAACGGGCAACGCCTTGTAGCAGGCAGGCTCTGGATAACCGCAGACATTAAACTCTGCATATAACGTAAACTTTTGCATTTCACGTTGGTGATCTTTCCAAAATGAGGAGAAATAATCGTTATGGAATAGAGAACTAAACTATTGGTAATATCACGTGAACGTTATTTTGACTCAAACCGCCTCCGAGGTGTTCTCCTCCACCACTCAGAAAAAAAGCCGACCGCCTTTTCTCTGGATCTCTAACATTTATAATAAATACATAAATATAACAATATAATGAAGATGCTTTCAAATAATTTAGCAAGCTGGAATGTCATCTTATTTTAACTGCAAAATTCTCTCGATGCTCCTCTCCTCTCCTCCGCAAATCACTAAATGAGGAAAAGGGAGAATATTCACTCAATCTATTCGCTTGAGATGTTACACATACAATATTAATATAGTCTAAGAGGTGTACCACCGTAGCCCGTGTATTTACCACTGACTGTAAAAGTAAGAAAGTTAGCAATGCAAGATTACATTTTTTAATTACCAAATCAGATTTAATTCAGCACAGTACTTTCCAAGCTCAGTAAGAGGAATAAAACGTTTTTGAATTATGAAAATAGGAAGAATAAGGTGGTTTTGATTTTTATTACCCATATTGATAAGTGCTTTTATGCGTTTAGTGAAAGATAATTTGGTTTTAAAAACAAAGGGATACTGTGGAACCTTCTATTCTGCCAGTTTCAAGCCTTTATTCATCTTCTAAGTGCTGTAACTTCCCTATTTTACTAACTATAAACCATATTTAAAAATCACTGTAAAGAAGGAAACAAGTTTCAAGGAGTTGGAACTTCGATATTATTTTACAATTTGGCCGACCCCGCATCTCCCAATATGGCCTCCAGTATCCAGATTGGCTGCCAACATGAAAAATTCCGGAAAACATTTTTTTCAAACTACTATGTAATATATCAATATATAAAAGGTAAGCAATCTAAATTGATGCTTAGGAAATGTTTTTGGGCCTATGCACACACACACAGTGTTATATATGAGACTAAATTCAGACCTCAGTTTATACATATGTTATTTATGAGACTAAAGTTACAGGGACCGCGCTTTAAACTGTTATTAATGAGGACTAAAGTTACATACTATCAGCCTTTAAACATTGCTTATTTGTGAGACCTAAAGTTACAGACCCGAGCTTTAAACATGTTTATTAATGAGACTAAAGTTACAGACCTCAGCTTTAAAACGTTCTTAATGAGCCTAAAGTTACAACCCCAGCATTTAAACCTGTGTTTTTATGCAGACTAAAGTTACAGACCTCCGCTTTAAACTGTGTTATTTATGAGGGACTCAACTGTACCAGTTCCTCAACTATAAACATGTTATTTATCAGGAACTACGTTACAGACCTCGCCTTTAAGCATGTTATTTATGAGACTAAAGAAAGACCGTAGCTATTTTAAACATGTTAAAAACCCAAACACCTTGTTACCCTGTAAAATGGATTAGGTCAACCAATGGCCATTGGTCGTTTGGGCCACGTGACTCGCGTTTCTACCCCGGAAAAGTGGACTCGCGGACTTTGCCCTGCCGCCTTCGGCTAGCAGCAGCAGCAGAGCAGAGTGACTGTGATGGAGCGCGGCGGTTTTGCAACTTTATTCACTGATCCGCGGGTACAAACAACCGTGTTGACATGATTCAAATATACCCATCATTTCTAAAAGCTTTACTCTTAGATGTATTGTGCTGTGGTGTTGGTTTCCCAAAAACCCCGGTTAGCTTACCGTGTATTTTGCTATTAAGTTCGTGGATTATACTCCGTAAACCGCAAACAGCTGGAGAGATGCAGCTATCACCGTAATCGCAGTAATAAGTGATTCTGTTTACCGGTAAATATCAACCTCCGCGGCGAACGTCATTACCCGCCGACTGCGAGGATATCCCGCTCATTTTTTTTCAGGAAGAGTCCAGACTATCGGTGGCCCCACTCTGCTCAATATTCGTCAACTTTATTAATTCATATCTAGGAAATAAAGGAATCTTCAGAACATTCCACACATTTATGGGATTCTATGAATAAAATATGTCTTATTGATTCGTTGGTTGGTTAGCTTATATTCATGATATTTGCTGCTCAGTAAATCAAATGAACTAAGTGAGTAAGACCGCCGACCTCTTTTTCACCACACGCGTTGCCTCAGGCGCAGCGTTTCCCTGTGGTCTTGCCTTGCTAATTTAAAAGTAATGAGGCCCTGCTTCCTGGCCTCTGGCTGTGAGGCCCACCACCGTCATCAGTCTCGGTGCTGCCTCTGTGTAGATCACACGTCTGTCTCGGACTGGGTGTTCCTCGAGGCTTTAAGGGGGTGTAGGAAGGAGCGATCCTGTTTGTCCCGCATGTTTTTTTGTTTAACGCATCCTGCGCCGAATTGCAAATTGTTACTCAGGGGACTTCCCATGCATACCGTAGGCGCACATATATAATAATATATAGGGATCAGGAGCTTTCTGTCGACGACCCACACGCACCATGACATGGATCATATTTCTTGAGCATCCCAACCCGCCCGAAACCAGCGGGACCCGAGGGTGGACTGCGGGTTTCGGGCCGGACACCCGCGCACCTCGCATGTCCTGTTAGGGCTGCAGGAGCATTTGTTCCTCCATTATTTTAATGGGACTTTGGTCCATGCACACTGTAAAAAAGATAAAGTTAGTTCACTCAAAATTTCCAAAGCAACCAGGCTGCGCAAGGTTTTTGAGTTGAAGGCATTAATTAATTCTTCATAGTTTTGAAAGAAACACACTTATTATGTTGTGACAGTTATGTTTCCAAGTT